TTGCTCTCCAGGGCCTGTGAAGCCCTCTGAGCCTACCCTACCTGCTCATGCCTACTAAAGGAAAGGACAGCTTTGAAAGCGGAAGTCTAGTTATCAGGAGTTAGTGCTTTTATGCACACCTGTAAAGAAGGAGGGGAACGGAATTCAGTGCTTTGGGAATATCAATATGCTTTTGTGTAGAGAGGATATGTAGGTGTGGCTTGCAGAGTCTAATTAACAAGAGTGAGGTCTGGTGTAAAGAAAGTGATTTATTCCAAAGTCAGTTTAGGGGAAAAAGTACAGGATTCCTGCCTAAGGGGACCACTTTGCTTATGGGGCAGAAACTGGGTACTTTTAAAGGGGAAGGCACACAGAGGAGGAAGTCAGCAGGTAGGGGGGCATCCAAGTGCTAGCTCTGGTGCTTTATCTACTGAGCTGTAGAGCTGGTGACTGTTGGTGCCTTTGTGGACAGGACCAGGCCCAAAACTCCCCAGGTGGGAGAGAGTTTTTGTAGCGGGACTTTGGGTTGTAAATCAACTGTTTTCTCTTGAGGCTTTCTCCTGGTGGGAGTTTCTAAGCACAAAGATAAACTTGCCTTGTAGGGAGTGTCTGGTGAAGGGGGGGGAAAGGCTATATTTGCATTTTTAAAGGACCAAGTAGGAAAGGGCTTAAAAGACAAAGGTACAAATGGTGTATTGGATAATCTCTCCCCTCCAATCCCAGGAATGCATGTTTTGGATTCATATAGATGCAGATACAAATCCTGGCTTTGTTGATGATTAAAACTGACCAGGGGGAGATACCGAGTCTCTTCCATCTCACATAGTGGGGACAGTAATGAATACATCATAAAGTCATTATGACTAGATGAGAGGATATGTATAAAGTACTTGGCATAAAACAATAGCTAATATAGCAACTATTCATTCACAAAACACAGACAAAGGTAGGCATCTGATCCTCATATTTCCTCTTCAACTCTCTTCTCTCTACCCAGCTTACAGAGCGTTATCTATTGGGCTTGGAAGTGGGGGAGGATGCAGATAAGGAAAAAATGAATGCTGCCAGCTTATAGCTCTATTTAGATGTTTTCTGTCTTATTTCTGGATAATGCCTTCTGAAGTCAAGGAATTTGGTCTTCCTGCTCTCTGTTTCTGCAGTATTTGGATTATGGGCAGCTATTCAGGGCACAGGTGAATGACGTATGTGAGAATATGTGTGGGGAACGTGTTCATTAATACTACATATTAGTCCATACCTAGTTTGCTATCACTGCCGAAGCATCTGGTTGGTCTTTGTTCCAGTAGGTAGCGCACTGTCCAGTGATCCTCAAGAGGAGGGGTTTTATTTTCTAAAAAGGCATCTACGGATGAAGAAGAGCATTGACCATGGTGGGAGGTGACCTGGGTGGAGTACAGACACTGCCTCTTCATTGCTACATTGCTAGGTGACCTTGAACATTTAATCCCTTTGAGCCCAGGTTTTCTCATTTTAAATTAGGGCAAGGGTCATAAAAATAACTTTCTTTCGATGTTGTTAAAAAATTAAGTAAAGGCCATTAAAATTGCAAGTACAGTTTTTCTAAATCTCCCATACAACTTAATTATCTTACTATTGAAGGTTGCACATATAAAATGGGAAGTGAAAAGTTAACTGTTCTCCCAGACATTTTGGTAAGAATACTAAGGTGATAATGATGCCAACATAAGTAAGTAATTTACAAGAATAGTTCTACAGATTTCTGGTGTTTAAAGTTATCTCAAATAGGATTTCAAAAATATTAGCAAATCGTGATGTAGTCTGTATTATGGACTTGACACTCTTCTGAGCATTTCGGATTTATTATTTCATTTAATTCCATGCTAAGCAGTATAATCTTGGAGAAAATTTAGCTTTGATTTGAAATTTGATAAAATAATTTATATGTCTGCCATGGACTGAATTTTGTCCACCCAAAATTAACATGCTAAAGTCCTAGCCCATGATATGATGGTTTTTGGAAGTGGAGCCTCTGGGAGGTAATTAGTGTTAGATGAAGTCCTGAGGGTGGGGGCTTCATGGTGGGATTGGTACCCTTATGAGAAGAGACACCAGAGTGCTTGCTCTCTCTTGCACTCTCTCTCTCCCTGTGATGTGAGGTTGCAGCATGTTGGTGCTGTCTACAAGCCAGGAAGACAGCCCTCACCAGAAACCAATCATGCTGACACTTTAATCTTGGACTTCCAGTTTCCAACACTGTGAGAAAATAAATTTATGTTGCTTAAGCCACCGAGGCTAGTATTTTTTATGGCAGCCGAAACTGACTAATACAATAATCTTAATGCTCTCTTTCTCTGTGGTTGGTTCTCTCCCATTGGCCCTGGGCAACATCTGTTGATAGAACTTTGCTTCAGTGTAATTGAAAAAGCAAGCAAACATGTATCAACATCTGTAAACGTTTTCACTCAGTCCACCATGGAACTAAAATTCAACCAATGTTTACCATGCTTTTATCCTCTTTTGCACCCACCTTCAACCAATACAGTTATTTCTAGAAAGAATTTGGGCAAGCTTCTGCCTTTGTTCAAATATGCATGTGGCCAAGAGGTATTTTTCCTCCATTTTTTTTTTTAAAGAAACCTAATGAGTTCTTTTCTCATCCTCTCTATTAAATTATAAATTCCTTGAAAACAGTATCATTCTTGTTATTGAGTGATATGCAAATTCTAGTGTAGCAACCTCATATCTCTTGGACACTCAACACATATCTGCTAAATTGTACCAAAATTTTTAAAAGGGGACCTCAGATCAGTTTGGGCTTAGAAAAATGGAGGAGTTGGGAGGGGGGTGTGCCACAGAGACGAGTCCAAACCTGAGGCCTTGAGAACAAAATGCAGGGAAAACCAAAGTGCAAACATCAAGGCCAAGTCCCAGGGCAAGAGAAGCAGCCTGAAATAAGGAGTCATTTGAAATTGGAGGGGAGTAGGAGCCACTCTGGAATGCAGACAGGAGGCCTGCCACCGCTGCTAAAAGTGTCACTACTGTCCCTAGGCTTCCAGATAGGTCAGCTGGAGAATGGGATATGCCACTCACATATACAAGGCCGTTCATGTACAGGCTGGGGCCTGACATTTCATCTTTGTATTCATCCTCATGCCGTTCTTTCAAGGGTGGTTCCTTCTCAACCCGGTTTGTTTATAAACATCCAGGACAGCAGTCCCCTGCACACTGTAGGGGTTAAGTCTTTGTTGACATGTATTGCAAGTCATTGTCCATAGGGCTTGGGTGGGGAAGGAAGCTGGGATTAGCCTGGAGCCTCTGTAGAAGATCTGTTTCATCCTAAATTACATTCAGAAGAGTAAATAATTCTTAGAATGCATTTCACAAGAGCAACACACTCATTTTAGTGTCCTGGATATGGTCCAGGGAATTGTAATCTAAATTCTCCATTTCATATGGTCATGTTTCTAACATTGCCCAGAAAGGTCATTCCTGGGTTGCAATGGATTGAGAGGCAGGAAATAAGAACTCAATCTTGGCCCCACCACCAAATCATTCTGTCATTCTTAGTCCCTGAGCAAGCTGTCTCCCGACTCTGCTCTCAGTTACTCCATCTGGGAAATGGGAATAACAAACTCCCTGTTGAAAACATGAAGATGAATTAGAGATAATATTTTTAAAGTGATTTCCCAGCTAGAAGGAGAATGCTGCATATTTCATAGTTGCTCCCAGGGACAAAATCACACACATGTAGTAGTCGTTTTCTTTCCTCTGTAATTGAGAAAATCTAGAACTTGAACTGGGAAATTCATTGTTCTAATGTTTGAGAGGGTGTGAATAGTGATCTTAAAAAATCAGCCAGTCACAGCTGATGTTGAGAAAGGGTAAACACTAGCGGAATCAATGGGCTTTAGAAGGAGGCAGTAAAACCTCCAATAAAATAGCTCACTAAATCCCAGTCTTGGCTCTGGCTCAAATCCCCTCACTAGAGTGTTAAAGTATGATGGGAAGCTTCTGGCATTATACCTGGCACAGCACCACCCTGGGGTCCAGCTGGCCTTATAAAACTCTTTCATTCGTACACTCGGCTGCTCCTGTTCACCATGCACGGAAGGCACCCACTGTGTGCTCTCCTGGTGAATGCAGGTGGTAGCCAAGGCGGAATGTCACGTTGACTCTCCAAAGCATAGGGCCTGGTACCTGGTGGGAACTCGTAGATATCTGTCCGGGAAATACATGAACCAATGAAGGTACTTGTTCCATGCAACTGAAAGTTTGGGCAGTTTTCCTTACCCTCTCCTGGAAGAAGACACGAGTCCGTGCACACTAAAGGGACATTTGGTGGGCACCCAAAGCGTGAAAGAGGTTCACAGTAACAAAACTAATACCTATGTAGTAGCTGCTGAACGTGCCAGGAGTTTTCACCTTGTTTAATCTTCACAATAATCCCATGAGGTATGCTCTGTGATGATTATTCCCATTTTACACATAAAGTCAAGGCCCAAAGGAATTTTGTAACTTGCCTGATGGTTAGGATGCTGGGTGATCTGAATGCAGGCAGCCTGACTTTGGATACCACCCTGTTAACCACTCAATTACAGTGTACTTCAATGACCTATGACTCCTACCACAGGAGCAGACTTCGGGAGAAGATACCACTTGGTGCACTGTGCCACCGTCCCAGCATGAGACCAGAGCAGTGCTCAGTATCCTGACACACTGGCGTAGGTTGGGCCTGGTGTTTCCGTTTCCTAATGGGGACATTGAGGTGCACAGCAGTTGTGTGTCTCACTCATAGTCACTTGGCTAACTGTGGCAGAGCAGGGATCAGGAATCTGGTCTGCTGGTCCCTGCCATGCTGCTTGGGGCTCTGCAGTTCAGCCACTTGTGCCAGAGACACTCACCTAGCGTACTTCTCAGCCCTGTCCCACCAGACTCCTTGGCCCAAGGCCACCAATAGTGGCCATGCCTGGCAATCAATTGGTAGACACCTGCTTTGTGTGAAGGACTTTGGGCACTAGAATAAAAAGCCAGAAATGGAAGACTTTGAGGAACATTTAATCCAACCTCTCATTTCACAAATGGAGAAATTGAGGCAGCTCATCCAAGGTCCCAAACTACTTGGTAGCAGTCTGGAACAGGCCCAGGTCTCCCAACAAGACATGTCATATTCGTTTGCTACTCTGCCGTGCTGTGCTGGGCAGTGGCAACGGGAGGTACCAAGAACCTCTCTGTACTGTCTGTAGAACCTCTCCTTTCAGCTTCTCACTGCCTCACTCCATGGCCCTGGCTGCAGCCTACCCACTGCACCCTGTGGCTGTCAGTGCACGGGGTAAGCCCTGACATGTGGAGGGAAATAGGCACCCAGACTAAGGGATTCTCCCCAGGCCTGTGTATGAAAAGGATCCTCAGCAAGCCATCCATTCCCACTGCCCTCCTCCCACTCCTCACCAGAAACTTAATTAATCATGTCTGCATCTGGATCCAGACAAGACAATAGCAGGGATGTGTTTCTGGTTAGGAACTGAAGCTGCATTCGCAAAGGAATGTTGATTAGTTAGTGGTCGGTATCATTTTTCATGCCTTTTTAAGTTACAAAAATTTTAATATCAAAGCATTTCTCCCTGCACCGCACGTATCTATTTCTCGTAAGTGCATTATGCTGGCATAATTTTCTTCTCCTTCCTGCGGGCTCTGTTTATGAGATGATCCATCAGGTTGTCTCAGAGTCTCCATCCAGCCCTTCAGCAACCGGAGGCATTCCAGGTGAACTCTGAGCCCACAGCCCCACCCCGTGTGGAAGGGGAAGGAGAAAGGCAGGCTTAGGCTGAGATATGATACACTGTTGATCAGGGAGACAACAGTCACCCACTGCAGAGACAGCAGGCTTTCCCCCGTCCCCTGCATTTCCCGGACCCTCATTATAAATGCTGCTGCTCTTTACAACAGGAGTGGGTCCCGGAAGAGAAGAAAAGAAAACGTCCCAAACCCCCTCCAGACCCGTAGATGCTGAGGTCAGTCTGAATGCTTCCATTCAGTCTTCAATTCTGCATCAGGAAAATGCCCTCAATATGGGAAAATCTTTGAAGGCAGGAAGCATGTCTCAATGTGTACAACATGCCCGTGTGTGCAAAACATGTCAAGTCACAGATGATAAGGCATGGCAGAGAAGCAAGGTGGGATCTATGTGGCACAGTCAGAAATCTGTCTGCATGCCCAGCCCTCCAGCTAAACCTCCCTTTAGACAAAAGTGGTGGAGGGGTAACAAAAGAGAATAAGGTGCCTCCTCCTTCTGTTCAGTGACCTTTCCGAAGGCAAGCCTGCAGTAACAAACCTGGCTGAGGCACTACGTGTACAGCTTGGACAGGACTGACCAGTGGGAACAACATAACAGCATGTTCTAAGATGCTCAGATGCAAGCTGACCTTCCCTCCAGCTGAGAAACCCTCCTGTGGTCACTGATTTCCTGAATGCACTGGCCTGAGGGCATGGGGAGGGCCTGTTACAGGACAGGATCACCAGCGGGAGTTCAGGGGATTCAGTATACATTTGTGTCACATTGGTCCCCAAAGCAGTTTGGGTTTGTTGAGGCAGGGTTTGACTTCCTGAGAGCCCAGCCCCAGGTCATTGTTGTTACTCCAGACACTGGGAAATGTGGATTGTGGGGTGAGATACTGAAGCTGGGGATTGGCCTGGAGACAGAGAGTACTCTGCACAACTCAACAGCAAAGTCACATTCCCAGAGAGCAACCAATTGATCCAAGGGTTATTTTTTCAGAAAATGAACTGCAATTGTGTGCCAGGCACTGTGCTAGAGGTACACCACACTGGGCCCATTGCAGGCCTCACCCCATGGGGGGTGGCCTGACTTCGTCTCATTATTTGTTCCTCTATCTCCCAGGCCTCTTCCTTGGTGCTGGCTAAGGGCTAGGCTGGATGTTTAGTTGTAGCCCTAAGGAAAAATTTTAGTATGTCCATTTTTATACACAGAAGCACAGATGGTAAGCAGCTATGAAAGTTGTCAGAATCAAAATGGAGTCATTTATGTTAAAACCTTGGCAAATGGAGCCAGGGATGGCCATCAAGGGAGGGTCCTCACACATGAATGCCTGATAAGAACTGTCAAAATACTTACTTGGCAGGGGAGATACCATGATCACGAAGATTTTCCGAAGGCGAGGCTTATCTATTGTAGTACGTTTGTACTGACCCCTGTGATTTCCTATAGCTTTGCAAAAAGGCCACTGCAACCTTAGACAGAAAATACAGATTCTGTAAGGATGTTTGTCTAGCAACTGCCTGTCCAAGTTTGGACTTGTGCCACCCTTGTAGCCAAGGATAATTGATTCGAACAACTGTAATCCTCTTCCTTTTGTCTTTATAAACTTCCCCTTGCCCCAATCTCTTTGAAAACACTCATAATTTGCTACGGTATACATATTCCTATTGCAATGCTACTCCCAGATGAATATCATTTTTTTTTTTTTTTTGAAGAGTCTCCCTCTCTGTTTGTTATTGAGTTTGACAAAGCAGGGGTTGGAAGGCTATAGCTTGTGGGCCAAATCTGGCCTGCTGCCTATTTTTGTAAATAAAGTTTTATTGGAATGCAGCCATACTTGTTATAGTATTGTTTATGACTGCTTTTATGCTATGCTGAAAGAGTTAAGTAGCTGGGAGAGAGACTGCACGGCCCACAATTCCTAAAATATTTGCTGTCTGGCCCTTTACTGAAAAATTTGCCCTGGTATAAAAGATTTGCCCATTTCCACTAGAGAATCAATGGTCAAATAGAAAGTATAGTCAGATTTCTTGATTTCTTTCCAAAGACCCAAACCACAGACTGACCTTCTCATTAAAAAGTTATTTTGTTTTGTCTTTAATATTTGTAATCTTCGTGATTCCTGCCTTTTGGCAGAAAATATCTGAAATATTTAATGGCTGCGATAGAAAGCAAAGAAGGATACATGTCTTGAAATCTTTAGCCCAATAACATACTTTAGAAACCAGAGGACAACTGCAGGCTCTGAATCTTCTTGGGGCCTGGTCTGAACTCAGGACCGTGGCCCGCCTCGGTTACTGACTTAAGGCAAAGGTCAAACTTTGGGGTAGGTTCGCGTTGACTCTAGACAGCCATCTGCGGAACACATAAAAAAATCAGGTAACTTATACTCTTGTATTATAAAATTTTAAAGTATTTATGTATTTTAAAAATCACAGATACAAGTCTCTAAAGCACGCATAAACAAACCCTTAGGATATTGTGATAATCTAAAAATATCCTGGGGGAAGATGAAGCAATATGTAAATATTCCGTTTTATTATCCTCTGAATAAAAACAGATATTTTTGTGGTACTTTCAGGACTTTGGGGTAGGTAAATAGATAAAGAATGAAGCCCAGAGATATTAAGTTCCTTACACAGGGCCATGTTATCCTTAGTTCCGCTAACCCAAGTCAGCCTCACTTGAAAGCCCATGTCTTAAACATTCTGCTTGCTCTATAGCCTTGCTTTCTAGGGGAGGGGAAGCTTGGTGCCTCTGTAAAGTTGGACTCATGAACTGGCTTTAGGATGCCCCTTGCAGCTGGGCTCATAAAGAGTCTTACAGGCTGGCTTCTGCAGATGCCTGTACCCTCAAGCCAAACACGAAGCTATTTTCTTGGCTCATCTCCCGGCCCTGGGTCTTTTTTCTGGTTTTGTTGGGATGCTGCTGAGTGAGAATTGCAGGATACCCAAGAATTTGCCAGAACTGAGGGTGCCTTCACACTTCTAGATCACCTTCTTTTTGGAGTACACGTGGTGTGGTCCAAGAGGAATGTGTTCGACAAAGATGAGGAGGGTCGTTGTGTTCACGCACTCATGAATATCAAAGAAGAGGCACCAACTAAGTCTTCTGGGAAAATTTCCAAACTGACAGTGCAGTGAAGGAACAGCTGCAATCCCCGCACCTCCCATTCTGCTCAGCCCAGCACAATAGATTTCACCGAGAGTCTGCTCAGAGACAAGCCTGTATGGAGTGTTGGGAGCCAGGGTATCTAGGACCTTGGCCTATCCCTGCCAGGGATGGGGTGTCAGATACAGCAATGAAGCCTGCAGTGGGAGGATCTGAGGCAACTCCAGGGCTGGCATTGGGCACCTGCAGAAAATATCCTGCTGTTGGCAGGGCCTGACCACCTGCTGTCCCTTTACTCACTCTAAGGCCCAAGACAGACACAGGTATCTCTTAAAGGCCCTTACAGCTCAAAGATTTAGAATCATCTCCTAATCCTTCATCTTGTAAAGAGGGATTGTCATTAGCTATGCGAGTGGATGGGCCTAGAATATCCAGATGAGTGCTCAGTGGAAACCACTTCACCCTCATAAAGCCATGTGAGAGAAGTAGCCCTACCTCCATTTTACAAAATAAAGTAACTCAGAGAGATGAACTGATAAGCCCTAATCATACAGTTTGTAAATGGCAGAGCAGGGAATCCACAGCTCTGGATGCCAAGTTTCTACAGTGAGCTCTGAGGGAGGCCTGACAGGGAAAGACAAGTTACAGAAGGGCAGGTGAGGGCCGGGCCTCCCATTCGGTTGTGTAGGCTGACCCCTGTACTAAAACCTTGTAGGGACTGAAATTCAGCCTGGGTTCTGCTCCCCATGCCATGAGCCCCAGCAAGGTACTGAGCTCTCCAAGGAAGACTCTTTCTAATATGCCCAGAAGAACACTGGGGTCTAGTGCTGCCCTGCTTGTGGGTGTGCAGGTAGTGAAGTCAGGGTGGGGAGGGATAGCAGATCCACTTCGACCTGGATGATGCTGGCAGGGTTATGGACTGACCTTATGATTACCCCCTTCGTACTGTAGGTTTTGCTGTTGTTGCTTTGAGTGTTCTCCTTACCTTTTCAACCACTCCTCTTCATCATTGAACACCTTTATGAGGTCATCTAGCAGGACATTTACCCAGCAAATGTTTTTTCCAAGACCAGGGCAGGAGATGAAGAAAGGGGGAAGATGAGAGACAAGAGCATATCGATGCTTTAAATTAAATTTATCTCCTAATTTGGCTCATAATTTAATTAATCCTAATTTAATTAAATATCTCCTAATTTAAAAAGCATACCAATGTCTCAATTTGGAACATTTAAAAAATTGTTGCAAACAAAATGTAAAATTAGCCCATTTCCAAAGATCATGACAGAATGGAGTTTTGGGAAAGAGTAACAAGCACATATTTCGAATATTGTGGGCCCAAGAATAAGCTTGCACTCTAATTGAAGACAGAACAATTAGTGACAGACGTGCTCCAATTCATCAGATTGGTCAAAATCATAAAACTCTCATCGACATGGGGTACAAATGCAGTTTATATCTCTGTTTTTTCAAGTCCTTCCCCTCCTACCTAGTGAATAGTAAACCCAAGGTCCTCTTCTTTGCCTCCATCCTTAGTCTGAATTGTCTGTGAATTCAGGGACTTACAGTTTCAAGATATAAGACCTGGAGTCTGACCGGTAGACTAAACATCCACTCCAGGCCCCCTGCCAACCCCGAGGAAGAAGCCTGGAGGTAGAGGGAGGAGAAATGACCAACTCAGGCCGGAGGCCATGGTGAGGCCCGCGGGTAGGGGGCTCAGAGCCTGGCACACGAATAGCACTTTATTTTCTGAATAAATAACTCTGATTACTACTTGGTTCATCTCTGGGAACACTGAGTTTGCTATTGAGTTGCTCCATCAAACTCTTGGTCCACAGGTCAGTCCCTAGCTTCAATATCTCACCTCACGATCCACTTCTTTCGCTGAAGTCAGGAGGGACAGCAATTAACTCCTGCGCTGCAGCGTCCCCAGGGCCAGGTGCCACTTGAGAGACCCCAGGCTGGAGCGAGAACGTGAGGGCCCTGTGCTCCGGAGCAGGGCGGAGGGATAGCGACCTGGGGCATCCGCTGCTTGCAGGCCCGGTTAGGGCGGTTGCCAGCCACCGGGGAGAGGCGCTGGCAAGAGCCAGAGAGGATCCCCCGCAAGAAATATATCGCGTGCTGACACTTTTACGACCCGGGCCGGCTTACAGTACACAGGCCGGTGCACAGCTCCGCTTTCCCCTGCCCAGCTTGACATCACATGCTCACCCCGGGGCTGCCACTTGGAGTCAGGAAAGCCCATATATTTTCCCTCCTCAGATAGGCCTAGTGGTTCTCGTCAGGTGCAGAAAGCCAATAAATCACCAGCGAAGTCTCCGTGTATCTATCAGTCAGGAGTTTGTCATCCTCCAGCCTTGATCCACATGAAAGCCGGGAGCAGGAGGGGCGGGGGGCGGGGAGAGGGGCGCGCGGGGGTGGGGCGCGGTCGGGCCTCGGACACCTGGCGGGGAGCTGGCGGGAGGGCTCGGGGAATCTGCGAATGTTCACAGCTCCAAGGGACCGCGGGGGAAATTTACACCTCCTCCCCCTCCTGCTTGTGCTTCCTTTCGCTTTGAAGTTCTGTGGCTCCGCACTGGAGTTCGGGAGGCAAGTCCTCCAGCCTGGGGTTTTTAATATTCACATCACGTCCTCTTTGCAGCTACTTTGGGAGGAATGAAAGCTACAAAGGACGTTTGGGTGACCTCCCCACAACACAAGGTGGGGTGCGCGGCTTCAGACCACACTGCCCTGTCTCCAGTCGCCATGGGTGACCAAGTAGTTGAAACACGACTGGGGACTTGGGTGCCAGTCCTTCTAGGCAGAAGGGGCCTTCTTGGGTAACTCCCTTTTCAGTCCTTAGTGTCTTCCAGATAGCAGTACAGTATCTGTGGAATCCGATGGACCTTGATTTGAATCCCACCACTGCTACGTTCACCTTTTGGACTTTAGTACATTTACTTATACTCTTCATTTTCAATTTCCCCATGTCTAAATGGGAATACAAGCCTCTAGTGCACAGAATTAGTGTGGGAATTAAATGAGGCAATATGTAGCAATTGCTCAGCACTGCATTTCATGTAGTAAAACCATGGAAAGGAGATAGTTGCATTTTAATTATTTTCCTGATCTATGAAATGTTGGTTTGGGACTAAGGCCATTCTAACTTTCAGCTGCTCGCCCTGAGCCAATAGTGCAGCTTGGGCACTGGGTGCTACCGTTGCATGGCTCCCACTCTGCCAGGAAGGCCTGACCTCATGCTGCCATTTACCATGAGGCTCCTGAGCATCATAGGTCAGCGAGGTCTGGCTCTGCTTTTGATGAGTGCCTTTCTTTGGAGCCATTTGGGGAGCCTCTTTCGATGTCCTGGTCACATCTGCATGAGAAACACTACAGGTCATTGAATAGGAGACCCCATGTCTCACAATGAGAACCTGAGTCTTCAAAGATAACAAGGGAAGGGCTCTTGATCACATGGTCAGCTGTGCACCTGGGACTGGAACTCAGTGGCCTTTTCCCATCCTGCAGCCACACCAACATGTACAGGTGTTACTGGAAAGGGCTCCCCATCCAGACCCCAAGAGAGGGTTCTTGGATCTCAGGCAAGAAAGAATTCTGGGAGAGTCTACAGAGTAAAGTGAAAGCAAGTTTATTAGAGAAGAAACAAAAGAATGGCTACTCCATAGGCAGAGCAGCCCCCAGGATGGCAATATGCTAAACCAGGGGTGGATTATTCATGAATTTTCTGGGAAAGGGAAGGGGAATTCCTGGAACTGAAGTTTTCTCTTCCTTTTAGACCATATAGTGTAGCTTGTGGACATTGCAATGGCATTTGTAAACTGTCTTGACGCTCTAAGGAGTGTCTTCTTTCGCATGCTAATGCATTATTATTAGCATATAATGTGCAGTGAGAAGGATCAGAGGTCATTTTTGCCATCTTGGATTTGGTGGGTTTGGGCTGGTTTCTTTACTGCATTTTGTTTTATCAGTGGGGTCTTTGTGACCTGTATCTTGTGCCAAACTCCTACCTCATCCTGTGACTAAGAATGCCCAACCACCTGGGGATGTAGCCCAGCTGGTCTCAGCCTCATTTTACCGTGCTCCTATTCAAGATGGAGTCACTCTGGTTCCAGTGCCTCTGACATAGGTACTACATTCACCATGTAGAGGAGCAAAAGCAGAAAGTTCCCTTAATAGGCTGCATTTCTCTTTTTCAATATCTCTCACTCAGGAAACAGTTTTTTATAATCTACTATGTGAAAGCCACCTGTCATTTCACCTCTCTGTCTTCAGTTTCTTCAGTTGTAAAATGAGGGGGCAGGAATACCAGTGTTTTTCAATTGGGGGTTATTAGAATCTGGGGCCAGGACTGTCGTGCACATTGGAGAATCTTTAGCATTTGGAGCTTCAGACATTAAATGCCAGCAGATCCCCCAGGCATTGTGACAATCAAAATGGTCCTCACATTTCCAAAACCCTTGAGTTGAGAACCGCTGGATGATCCTATTTACTTTCTAGTTTTAATATTGTATCAGTTGAGGAGTCCTGGTTCAGGTACTAACCAATTACCCCTGCTGTGACTTTTGGCTAAGCTCTTTAACCTTCTTCTTCTTTTAAATATCTGTACCATGGGAATAATCAAACTTGTCCCATACTGTCTATGTTACACAGCTGTTGTGAAGATATGATTACAAGAAAAAAAAAGTCGATGTGAAAACATTAGTCTCTGAAGGTAAGTTACCATCATTATTATGCAAAATTTTTTTGCAAAATAATTTTTAATTGTGTGAAAATAATTACCCTTAAATTTTAACTAATAATTACAATACCCTTTAAATCGATTTTCTTTATTTAGCGAAAAAGAAAATAGATTAAAAGGGTAAATGATTTACCCAAGGCTATGAAGCTAGAATTTGAATTCAGACAGTCTGACCACAAAAACCTGTGTGCTAAATAGTGTCCTCTGTTTCTTGTTCACATGGGTCAGAAATGGCTTCTCCCCTGATCAGAGCATTTTCTGTCTATAAATGAGTTATATAGGAAGCTATTAGATTGTTGTTTATCAGTGCATTCCATCCAGAGGTGGTAGTGATCTGAAGAAGGGCTCTCATTTTTGAAGGGAGGTGAGTCTCACTCTGTTGTCTAGGCTAGGGTGCAGTGGTATGATCATAGTTTACTGCAGCCTCCAACTCCTCGCCTCAAGTGACCTTCCTGCTTCAGCCTCCCAAGTAGCTGGGACTACAGATATGCACCACTGTATGCCTGGCTAATTTATTTTTTATTTTTTTAGAGAGGGAGTGTCACTACGTTGTCTAGTATTGCGGGATCTGGCCAGCAGTCCACAACGCAACGGGGCTCTCTCTTTGCTCCCAGGCGGACCAGCAGGTCGAGAAATAATAGACACACACAAGATAGTGAAAGCTGGGTCCAGGGGGGTCACCGCCTTCTGGTCCCGTGGTGCCAACAATGCACTGGATATGCCAGCATTTACTATTAAGTTTAGTGAGGGTGGGGGTAGGTTAGTGAGGGATTTAGGGTCATTTGATTATGAGGTGAGATGGTCACATGGGGATGAAGTAATTCTTTAACATGACATCTGTCTGCAGAAGTACAGTATACAGAGATAAGAATTGACAATATAGTGTGTGCATCAGTAATTTCTAACAGAGCCTTAAAACAGAAACACAGTCTTTCCATAACCTATGATTAGCAAGATATTAATCAGCAGTAACAGTTGCAGCAAAAACTGGTTACAAACAATCCATAGAAACAGGACGTGAAGTTAGACAACTGGTTAGACCAGAAATTCTCAGAAGGGAGTATGAACCCTGAAGAGGCCTAGAAGAGCTACGGCAACATGAGGGCATTTATAACCCTATCTTATCCATATGGACAGACGCTCCCCATGCGCCTGTTTATAGGCTCTCCCCGAGGGTCGCATTCCATTCCCAGAGCTATGAACATCTGCTTTTCTGGGATAGGAATCTTGGTGATGTGAAACCTCCCTGACTGCACGTCCATTCACAGGCTCTCTGGCAGGGGGAAGCACATCACGCGCTGTTGCAATTTTGTATTTACAATTATTAGAAGCATTTCATCTTTTATTCTGTAGCAATAGTTTCAGGGGGTCTCCCTACAGTCTAGGCTGGTCTTAAATTCCTGGCCTTAAGTGATCCTCCCACCTCAGCCTCCCTTGTAGCTGGACACCCAGCAGAGAAAGACTCTAAGCCACTCTGCTCAATTGCCTCTCTTAGTGTGACTCTCACTTTTTGGTCTCTTGTGCCTTCTCCACTTCCTCTGTGAAAATGAAGTCTTCTTAAGTTCATTTAAATCTTTTGTATATCCCATTACTTGCACACAACTCTTTGTTCCTACTGTCTACTCTAAACAAACACACATACACAAACACACACACACACCCCCCTAGAACCAAGGTTGCCAGATTTACCAAATAAAAATAAAAGATTCCCAGTTAAAACTGAAGTTCATATAAACAATAAAATTTTTAGTATATCTCAAATATTGCATGGAACATACTTATATTAAAAATTATTCATTTTTAATAGAAATTCACATTTAATTGGGTGTCCTGTATTTTATCTGACAACTCTAATCATAACTCATATTCCAGTGCTCTCCAGCCTCGCTCTGCCCCTCAGACAGAGAGCAAGAGAGGAGCAGGGCTCTGTATGAGACATGATCAGAGACCTCCAGAACACAGAAGTCTCTGTTCTAAGGGTATTTTCAGTCTAGCTGAGAATACAGACGTCACAAGAGGCAGCTGCTTGACACTTGACTTGCATCTCATGTCAGTACCCGCTGGGAGTCTCACTGGACTGCTTCGTCTCCTGCTACCCACATCCACTCAGTCCCTTACTCCCCTCTCCTTTTCACATCCTCTCAGATCTATTCTCTTCTCTGCATCCCCAATTTTGGTCCACTTTCTCAACAATTTGCAATTCTCCTAACTTGGCTTCCTGTTTCTATTCCTGATATTGAATGTCCTCTACCCTCCATACAGACACCAGGCAGATTTTGCTTTCTTTTAAAATAACATGCTTCCTCTGATGAGTGTAGTCATCTACATTCATTACAGAAATATTCCCACAGGAATATTACAGAAAATTCCCATAGGAATACAGAAAAAAAAAATTGCAAAGTTCTCATTTCCTACACCAAAAAAATCCAAGCTTCGAGACCAAGTGATCATGGTCCCTGAGATATGGCCTTTCCTGACTATTCTGGCTCTGCCTGACATAATATCACTCAAACTCCATCAGCTCAAACTCCATCTACACAACCACGTTCCAGTTCCCTAAATAACAAGCCATGCTTTTTGTCTGGTAGGACTTTGCAAAGCCTTTTTCTTCTCCTCCCTAGAAGCAGCTTCTTCCATTACCCACCAGTGGGCTCTTAATTATACTTCAGAACTCAGTTCCAGTGTTATTTCCCTGAACTTGGCTTCCCGAAACAGACTTAGAAATAATCTCCTTAGTGCTCCTAAAGTCATCTGAGCTTACACAGTCTTTGCAAATACCTTTCTTGCGGATATTTTAAAAAAATAATGTCTTGCAATTGTTTATTTACACATATATCATCCCATGTAAACTTAAGATCCTTAAGGATAGAGGCCATGTATCTCTTAAGTCAGCAAAATGCCTCATGCAATTAGGAGCTCAATAAAATGTTCATTAATCATTAAATTACTTAAATAATGGGACCATTTCTTTTCCTGTGTGTTTTATGCATTTCACTGATGGCCTCACACTAATTGTTCTACCAATGAAATGCTGGTTTGAATGCTGCTGTTACTTAACACTTGTCGATCCAATTAGATTATAAATATCTGTGATCCCCCACAGTGTACCTTTCAGGGCTAGCCATAAATAATTGTTGAATGACTGAATTATCTTCCTGCAGACCTAGTGGATGATACACATGGCAAAAGGTCCCAGATAAAGTTTCAAGGACTTGGGTTCCAGTCTCTGCTTTTCCAAGCTGAGTACATTACTATCGCTCTCTTGGTCTTGGTTTCCTTGTCTATAAAGTGGGTCCAGGTCATCTGTTAGGTCCCCTAAATTGTTAAAGGGCAATGAATTTATAAATAATCTTATCAGTTGTGACTTGCTAATAAGCTGCTCCTTCTGTCTTCGTGGAGAATAAAAGGAACTAATGTTTGTTGCATACCTGGTATGTGCTAGTCAGCCCCTGTCCTAGGAACTTTCCATGTTTCTCTGTTCAAGACAGGAGGAGAGCATCATGTGACACAGGTGACATCTGCAAATCAGAGCATATTCCTCTGCACCCTCATTTACTCTCATGTGTTGAATATTAAATACTGTGTTAAAAATCTCTTGAATTCACCCGAATATGTTGATTAAGTAGATTGCATTTCCTAATATGGGTGGGCCTCATCGAATCAGTTGAAGGCTGAAAAGAACAAAAAGGCTTACCCTCATGTGAGCAAGGGGGAACTCCTCCTGCCTGAGCTCCTGAGTTGGGACACTGGCCTTTTCCTAACTTTGGACTAAATTGGGGTTTTCTTGGGTCTTGAGCCTTCAGACTGAACTATGCTGTTGGCTCTCCTGGGTCTCCAGCTTGCTGACTGCAGATCCTGGGACTCCTCAGCCTCCATAGTTGCATAAGCCAATTACTTATAATAAATCTCTCTCTCTCTCTCTCTCTGTGTGTGTGTGTGTGTGTGCATGTATATGTGTGTATGTGTGTGTGTGTGTATATATATATATACACACACACACACATGCGCACACACACACGTTGTTGGTTCTGTTTCTATGGAGAACCCTGATTAATACAACCTGTCAGGCAATGATCAGTCCAGCCAGCCAGATGTCAAGGGCTCTTGCCAAGTTTAATAGCTTGGAAGAGGAATTCAAAGCCTGCCCTGTTTCTACCCTCTTCTGGCCCATCCATCTCCTTGGATGACCTCAGCAGGGCCGGCCTTGGACTTCAGTTTGAAACCCCCTCTCCCCTGCTATCTACTGTCTGTAGATATTTTCCCCTGCTAACTGTTCAATGTCCTTCCATTCTGATTTAGAAACTTCTTGCAGAAAAGGGAGCTACCTCAGGTTTCCACACTATTATCACTAATATATAATCATAGATTGTAATAATTACACTATAATGTTAGTGCTAATGGCTAACATTCATTAACTGAGTGCTGTAAATGAATGATCTCATCTGCTCTCACAACAACTCTGTGTAGTAACTACTGTCAGACATATTATAGGTGATAAAATTCAAGCACAGATAAGTTAAATGCCTTTCTCAAGATTCAATAGCAAGTGACAGAGCTGGGTGTGAATTCAGTGAACTCGATTCCAATCTTGGGGTCTTGAACAGATAATCCTTAAAGTCTCATTTCACCCTGATATTCCCCAAGTCTCTAAAACCATTCATACCAAGGCATGAGTTGCCTGCCTCTACTACTCTGTATTAGGGCCCAGGTTTCTAGGGCCGCTACTGCTGCTAGAAAGTATCAGAGGTTACATAAGCATGGGGGAGCAGAAAGAGACTGGGCCCAGGAGCCACAAAGCTTGAAAATGAGCCTCCGCTACATGGCAAGCCATCTGTGGGAACTTGGGCTCATAAACTCTGAATCTCAGTATTTTCTTCTCTTAAATGGTAATAATCATGATCATGCCTGCTTCTCATAACTCACAGCATTATTCTAAAGATCAGGAGATCAAGGGCATGTGAGAGTGCTTTGTAAATTGTAAACTGCCATACAAATATGAATTATTATTGTTTCCAGCTGGAGTTGTCTGGGCCTACTTCAATGAGGGCATTATAAATGATTGATAAAACTTTATATGGTATCTGTGCTTTAAGGGGGGAACTAGTCTTAAGCCAAATGGCTAAAAAATCTGGTATGGAATGTTGGTTGCAGCACTCTAGACAGAAAGATTTGGGCACATGAATAGGGATTGGGCCCAGATCCAAGATACTGGTCAGCTTAACTTAGATTCTAGGGTTAGAAAGTGCTATTAAATGTTGATTGCTATTTAGTTATTCACTGAACAGATCAAAGAAAGTAATAATAGAAAATGTGTGTTTGAGTGCTTACCGTGTATCACACTTTGTTCTAAGTATTTTATATGTACATGTTATTTAATCCTTACAACAATCCAGTGAGATGAATATGTCTATAGATAATATGACTATTCCCATTCTCCAAATGAAGAAAATAAGGCTCAGAGAATTTAGGAAACTTTTCTAGAGTCACACATTTAATAAGTAGTGGTAAAGTTTGGATTTGAACCTGGTCATTCTGACCCTAGAGCCAGAAGGAACAAAGAAAGGATGAATGGGGGAGGAGAAAAGAAAAGAAGGGAAAGGAAAGGGAAAAGGAAAGGGAAGGGAAAGAAAAATGAAAGAAGGAAGGAAGGAAAGAAGGAAGGAAGGAAGGATGGAAGGAAGCGGGGAAGGAAGGAAGGAAGGAAAAAGGAAGGAAGGATGGTAGGAAGGAAGGGAGGAAGGAAAGAAGGAAGGAAGGAAGAACGAAGGAAGGAAGGACGGAAGGGAGGGAGGGAGGGAGGGAGAGAAGGAGGGAGGGAAGGAGGGAGGGAGGAAGACAGGGAAGGGACGGGAGGGGAGGGGAGGCAAGAAGACTATATACTGAGTACTCCTCAGGTAGATTATAATGAGACCTAAGGAAGGAAATGACAGAGATCTGAAACCAAATAATCTCCAAATAAAACATGCCTTGAGGGAGTCAAAAAAGGTCCTTGGCCTATTTTGGCCTATCAGGAAGTGCATGTTCACTCTCATGTGTATGAACAACAGTGGAGCCACAACACTGTGATAAAAATTGAAATTGGGTGCTATGGAAATACAGAGGAAGGGTGAAGGTGAGAACTGGGGAAGGCCCTCTGCCAGATATGATGTCCAGGTAAATCTCAGATAATGATATGGTCTAGCCAGGCACAGAGTCAGGAAAGGAGGCATGAGACTGCACAACACAGGTGGAGCTACAAGGAATTAGGAAGTATTACTATTACAATGCAAAAGGCAATGTGGGAGAGGTCAGACGGCAGGCCGGAGATTCAAATAGGGTCCAGGCCATGTGTGCTAGGATGCTCTGTGACAAGCCAAAAAGTTCAGGCTTTATTTTATAGGTGACAGAGACTCACAAGTGGTTTTAAATATGGTCAGACTTGTAATTTAGATGATCTCCTCTGACTAGAGTGGGGAGGGGGGATTTGACGGGTGGAGGACAGGGCAAGAGAGAAGAATGGTCAAGATTAGATTCCAGTAGTCCAGGCAAGTCTTTACAGAGCCGATGAGGAAGGTGAAGAGATGTTTAGGAGATATTTTTAGAAGCATTTCATGATTCACTGTAGTGGGGTGGCAATGGAAAGTTTCTGGGCTGATTCCCGTTCTTGGTTCAATAACTTGAGAGTCTGCTGTGCTACTAACAGAGGTATGGAATACTAGAAGAGGAGCAGTTCTGGGAAATGGACTTGTTCAGAAGCAGATGGGAACAATAAATATGAAACTCTGGGAAGCAGTGAGGGACAAAGATGGCTATTTGTTTTGTTAACAAAAATTGTTTATTAACTACTAGATGTTGATATAAGACTAGGTATTAGAAGTCAGCACAAGACAGGTCATATTGCAGTAACAGACTACCCCACAGCTCAGTGACTTAATGCAAAAAAGGTGTTTATTTCTTAACTCGTACTGTCGAGTGTGTGTTATTGAGGGAATCTGTTTCGCATCATTACTTAGGGACTCAAGTTGACAAGGTTGCATCATCTTGTAACTTCAGTATCTAGAACACGAGTGCTTCTCAGTCACTTGGGAAAGAGAGGAGAAAGACTAAATAATCACAGGTATGCCTTTTAATTCCTCAGCCTGGAAGTGACAAAGATAATGTCTGCTCACATTTCATTGACAGAATTGGTTTTTTTGTTTGTTTGTTTGTTTTTTGGTTTTTTTTTTTTTTTTTTTTTTTTTTTTGCGACGGAGTCTCTCTGTCGCCCAGGCTGGAGTGCTGTGGCTGGATCTCAGCTCACTGCAAGCTCCACCTCCCGGGTTTACTCCATTCTCCTGCCTCAGCCTCCCGAGGAGCTGGGACTACAGACGCCCGCCACCTCGCCCAGCTAGTTTTTTGTATTTTTTAGTAGAGACGGGGTTTCACCGTATTAGCCAGGATGGTCTCAATCTGACCTCGTGATCCGCCCGTCTCGGCCTCCCAAAGTGCTGGGATTACAGGCTTGAGCCACCGCGCCCGGCCGACAGAATTGGTTTTATGGTCCCACCTAACTGCAGGGACTGAGAAATGTAGAGGTGCGAATGTTACTTGTGGTGAGCGTTACCGTCTCTGCTGCGTGTCATTAGCATATGGGAGGTGATTAAATCTGAAAGAGTAAGGACAAGATCAATCAAGGTAAAGCCCACAGAGCGAAAAGAGAATGGCCGAGGACAAAACCCAGGGAATCACCTTCTGTAAGTAAAACAAGGAAGAGAGGAGCCCAAGGATGACACCGAAAAGTGACATGAAAAGAGTTAAGAACTATGAGCCAATAGTGTCACTCGAGCCAAGGAAGTATGTCTATACAGAGGTGTAGAGCAGCAAATACAGCCTGGAGGAGCAGAAGGATAAAGACTGAAGTCTCCACTGCATTTGGCCATCAAGAGGGGGCTGGATAACATCTTAATAGAAGTGTCTCCTTGCAGTGAATATTTACCTAGGTTTTTGTTCTAGAAAAAAATGGTCACTTCTAGAGCTGTATGGGACAGGGCTGTGTTCCTGAGGCCATAGCCCCCAGAAGTCTTCTGAAAGTGACGGTGGCAATTCAGGTAGGTAGTCTGTCTTTAGCTCACAATATCATTTGAAATGTTTAATACATTAGCAATTGATGATTAGCTAACTGGGTGAGATAAGACCTGTAAAAGTACAGACCCTGATAATTGAAAGAAACCGTAAGCTGTGTAAACTGAAATGAAAAGTGATGTTTACCTATTATTCATTAGTATTCTTATAGAGTGGCAGTATCATAACTTGGGAAGTTTACCTAAAGCGCAGTTATTATTACACTTGATCTTAGCCAAAAGGCCAAGAAGCAATTAAAGGTCAGTTACATTTAACTAATAAAAATCCTTAGATTGAATTAAGAATTGCATTTGTGGCTTTTTCATCCAGGAGAAGGAAGTGTTATTTCCTTTTTGTATTTTCACTTGGAAAAAACTGAGAAGAGTGTGACTAGTCGATGATATTTTGACCATACAGCTGGTGAGCACTTCTGAGGAAGAGGAACATGGACGAGACATTTGTTGAGTACCTATTACATGCCAGGCAATTCCCATACATATTTTATTTAATCTTCACAATCACCCAGAGAAAGAGATCTCTTTTATCCTCATTTTACGGACATGGCAAAACTGAATAGAAGGTCCTAGTTTACAAACTCCAGGGGCTCCACTCCATTTGCTATCAGCTAAGCAGACTCGGAGCGTGGGCCCCTATTTCTGCTTCTCCCGGGACACTGTAAATCGCTCCATTTGCCATCAGTCCGGAGCTGTGAGCATGCAGATGAAAGGCGTTGTGGATCTGGGAACTACCGCTCTATCTTCAGAGGAACTGACTTTCAGCTTTCAGCCACATGCATGAGAGGGGCTGATTCCATCTGTCGACCTGTCAGGCCGCCTCTCTCTTAGGCTTCTTTCCTCTCTTCTTGGAGTTTCTTCAATAAAACATTTCACTCCCTTGAAAAGCGACTCCCCTGAGTGGCTGAGGGGGGCCCAATATGGTTCCATTTAGCTCTCTGGGGATGAGGAGGAAGCATCCTCCCGTTACCTAACTTTCCTAGCAAGTGGTATTTCTGTTTCCTCTCCCTCAAAAAACTATACAAAAATAAATGCTAGTTGTCCTCCCAGCTCATGAGTTCCACTACCCACAGTTTCTGCTCGGAACTTCCCCACTCCCCTGCCGTCCCGTCATTCTCCATTCTTGGACTCCTGACTCCCAGAAATACTGATGGGAGGGCGAGTGTGGCGCGATCTTGTGGTCATGCGGTGGAGCTTCACCTTTCTCAGCCGCTCTGCTTCAGCGGCAGAGACTCTCTGGCCTTTCTCTCCAGAGGGCTTCTGCTACTCATCCACAAGACCCCTGCGAGAGGCAGAACCCGCTCTGTCCTAGGCTCCCTTGAACAAGCCAAGACACAGGCGGCAAGCTCACACGTGGTGAAGGACAGATTAGACTTTTTTCATGATCCTATAGAAAGGAAGTTTATCTTCTGGTCAGGCTCCCCTTCCAGAATCTTCTCTTACCCCTCCAGTGCCCAAGGCTAGGTCCTCTCTCTGTACCTGTTGTTCTCTCCCATGGAGGCTCATTAACGCCACTACAGGACTGACCGAGATCACCTGGGGAGGCTTAAGAAAACACCAATTGCTGAGCTCCAACCCCACAGTATATGATTTGCCTTTCACTGAGAATTTGCTTTTCAGGCCACTACCATTGGTTTGCAACCCTAGATGCAGATTTGAATCACTGTTTTTAAAAATATATAGTATGTGTGCCCCAGACCAATTAGCACATTGATAGCTTTAAAAACACCCCCAGGTAGGCCGGGCGCGGTGACTCAACCTGTAATCCCAGCACTTTGGGAGACCGAGGCGGGAGGATCACGAGGGCAGGAGATTGAGACCATCCTGGCAAACACGGTGAAACCCCATCTCTACTAAAAATACAAAAATTAGCCGGGCGCGGTGGCGGGCGTCTGTAGTCCCAGCTACTGCGGAGGCTGAGGCAGGAGAATGGCGTGAACCCGGGAGGCGGAGCTTGCAGTGCGCCGAGATCGCGCCACTGCACTCCAGCCTGGGCGACAGAGCCAGACTCCGTCTCAAAACAAAACAAAACAAAACAAAACAAAACAAAACAAAACAAAATAAAATAAAAAACCCAGGTGCTTCTCAAGCGCCCTGAGGCTGAGAACCTCTGTATATTCAAATCAGCTTTTCACTTCCCGGAGGTGTTTAGACCTGAATAGTGGACTTGAGAAACTTTCCCTCCTAACCTTTCAGGCCCCCATAGAAATACATTTTTTAAAGTTAAAAGTTTCAGGCACATGCGCATATTAAGGGACGGGGTTGATATTTTATTGAAAGAGATCAGCCTTCCTGGAACTCCTCATGTTACCCTGCCAGCCTAAGCTGCCAGAATAATGCACTGGTAACTGGCATGGAGATCTGGAGACAAAGTTATAGCTCCGCCCCTTACTACTGTGTGACTTGGGCTGCCTATTTAACTTCTCTAAGCCTTAGTTTTCACATCTGTGACACGGGGACAATAAGCACACCTATTATTTATAAGGTTAGTATGAGGAATAAAAGAAACAATCCAACCCCTCACAGATAGTTAGAATTCTGTAAAACACGGTTTTATTTAAAAATTGTATTACCGTTACTGTTACCACTATTGTTCTTCTTGTGACTCTTTGGACCAGCCATCGGAAGAGCTAGTGCATTCTGATCCTGATTCCAAGCTTATGGGGCCTTCCTCTGTGAGTTGTGGAGAAATAGACTGGCTGTCAGAACTTTCTCAGTTCCAGTTCCAACTTCATGGTCTGTTACTGGTCTGTGATTTACCCCAACCACCATCCTTGCCCAAATATCTACCAAAATCCTTAGACTCTACTCCTCCTAACTTAACACAGGATCTTACTCCTTAACCCACCCTCACATCCTTCTAAACCCGTCTCTAGGAATGGCATCTCTGTCTACCATAAACTCAGCCGCCCAAACTAAAAACTGGAGAGCATTCTTGAGTCTCCCCTCTTGTTCTTGGACTGCCACCACTACCAAAGAATGAGACAGACAAACAAAAAATGGATAACCAATTCTTCTAAGTTTTAAATTAATTTCATATCTGTCCCCTCTCCTGCTGCCCTCATTCAGGAGTTCCCTTCTGGATTATTTTAGCTGTCTCTTACTTGTCTCTATCTCTTATTCTTAATTTCTCTACCTTATGTACCATGTCACTACCAGGGAGATATAAATACAATTATGTTGTTCCCCGGCTCAGAACTCCTCAGTAATTTTCGATCATCTATCAGGTTGAATTGTCTTTGCAAACACAGACACTGGCAGGGACAGGCAGGCAACACAAACTCATGGCATGGAATGTTGCTAAAACAATATGCAGTCACACTGTGACTTGTCTAGCTAGGCATGTTGCTTTTTAAAAACTGTGCAAACCAAACAAAACATCTCTTAGCCATGAAGCCCTTGGGCTACCAGCCTGAATCACCCCCCTGGCCTAACACGTAGATTCTGATTGCTTTGATGTAACCTGCAAGGCCTTTCCTGATGTGGCTTTCGTTACCTATATAGCCCCATACCAATCCCTCTCTTCTTGCGCTTTATACATGAGTAAACCTAAAGTTCTCAGAATAGATCATGTGTTCTTGTACTCTCATGTTTTTCTTTCATTTTGTTTTTCTTTTTAGCTTACAGCTGTTGCAGCCAGAAACCTTCATGTTTTTGCTCATGCTGTGCCTTCTACCTAGAATGCCCTTCTTCTTTTCGGCACCCTGGCCAAATCCAGTTAATACTTGACAGTTCAGTTCAGAGGTTAGCTATACATGGTTCCACTAGCCTAATACAGTTTTCACTCTCCCACTCCTAATTCTCAAATCTAATAGTGGCCATATTGCATTGAATCGCTTATTTGCATGTCTATTTCCTCCACTAGTCTCATAAGCTCCTTAAAGTCAGGGGCTGTCTTTTTACTTTAGTATCCTCAGCTCTTACCATAGTGCCTGGCATCTCGTCTAATGAGTACAAGAATGGAGGAATGGTAATAAGTAACATTTTGAGTGCTTCCTGAATTTCAGGCACTAATGTAAGTACTCTACATACATTATTTGCTTTAACCCTTTTATCAGGTACCAAAAATAAGAAGGAAGGGACAAGTCTAGGATGTCTCCATGTAATATATACATTGGTTTTTCCTAAGTGCTCCCAACTCAACTGAAAATGACTAAAAATGTCTGCAAAGGTACTGTTTACAATAGCAAAGACATGGAATCAACCCAAATGCCCATCAATAATAGACTGGATAAAGAAAATGTGGTACATATACACCATGAAATACTATGCAGACATAAAAAAGAATGAGATCATGTCCTTTGCAGGGACACGGATAGAGCTAGAAGCCAATATCCTCAGCAAACTAAAACAGGAGCAGAAAACCAAACACCACATGTTCTCACTCATAAGTGGGAGCTGAGCAACGAGAACATGTGCACACAGGGAGGGGAACAACACACACTGGTGCTGTCGGGGGAGCGAGGGGAGGGAGAGCATTAGGATAAATAGCCAATGCAGGTGGGGCTTAATACCTAGGTGATGGATTGATATGTGCAGCAAACCACATGGCACATGTTTACCTAAGTAACAAACCTGCACGTCCTGCACATGTATCCTGGAATGTAACATAAAATTAAATTAAAGAAAGAAAAAAAATGTCTGCAAAGGTAGGATTTAACCATCTGGGATGCTCCAGAGTGACCTATAATTACCTCTACTTTACTACATGAAAATTACTTATTTATTAAATTACTTATTTATTACTTATTAAATTACTTATTTATTACTTATTTTATTCCCTATAAGATAGTGAAGCTCTTGGGGGCAAGGTCTACAGTTTTCATCCCATAATTCCTAGCACCCAACTTCCTTCCTGGTACATAGTGAGACTTGTATAAATGTTAGATAAGTAAATGAACAAAAGTTCTGATAGATTTCTTATTACACAAGTTTCTGAAGCTCTGAAATTCTGGCTGTAGGTCTCTGGCAGGTTCAGTAACTTCTTTTGACTTTTTTTCAGAAATGTGCTGGGTACTTTGGGTATATAGGTTACATATGTTTGTATAACCACACGTTGCACCTGAGATAAAGGAAGAAAGAGAAAGAAAGATTGGGTAGAGGAATATAATATAAAAGAAGGCAAAGAAAGTGATAGAGAATAAGGAATTTTTAAAAATTTGCAGCTATTACTAAATGATTTTAGAGTGTAACTTCAATGTATTTTATTTGCCATTTAAAAAAAACTCTGCAATTAAGCTACATGGTCATTAGATGTCAGTAAAGTAATAATGTGTCTCATCACGCTCACCAAGGTCTTAAGTTCCACACTATAGCTTTAGGCTCAATCTCCTACAGAGATTTATAATCATGAAGTTCTATTGTTATGGTGATGAAAAACAAACCTTATTAAAGAATATAACGTTAAATAAATAAAGTAAGAATCAAAACATATAACACTTTTAAAGGAAAATACAAAAGCAGTCGAATTCTACAAATATCTAAATGTATTTCTCAACTATCATATAGTAGTTAAAACTCCTAGTTCAAATTTCAACTGTTATAGTCCTTTCAACAATTTCTATCTAAAATTAGAAATGTTAAATTTGGTTGATTCATCTAAATATATTATTATCACTTCCTTCCTTTCCACTTATCCCTGTTCCCCCATCCTACCCCCTCTACACAGAAATAGCCACTTGTCACTCAGATTTTGCTGTAGGAACTTTTGTATAGGATATAATTAATATTTACTTCTATAGCTGATTATTATGCAATTCATTGAGTGAATCTGTAAGTACCTCTAACTTTCATCTCTCTTAGACAAAAAAACAGCTAATTGAGATTTTGCAATTTCATCCCTCAGTCCTCTGATCAATCACATTAGGCTCCCCCTCTATCCTCCCCAAGACCATTAAAACGTCTTCATGTTTTAATTTTTTCGAAGTTACGCAGTGCTAAATTTTACTCATCAGCCCTAGCTCAAGGATTGGCTTTAGTAATGCCCTTGCAACTGGCAGGGAGGTAATGGCCAAGATTTGACCTCCTAGTCAATCAGAACTGAGTTTGAATCCTGGTTCTACCTCTTCTTTCTGCCTTTGGGAAAGGCAAGTGTATCATTCACAACAGAAAAATTTATGCTGCAGAACAAGCAGCTGCTAAAATTTCAGTGGCTTAAAACACAAGTGTATTTCTCACTCACACTGCATGTTCAAAACAGACTGGCAGAAATCTTCTACTCATTGTAGTCACTCAGGGACCCAGGCTGATGGAGGCTCCTTCCTCTGCATGGAGTAAGGTGGTCTTCAAGTAATCCACAGCCATCCAAGTTGGTAATGAGCAGAGGGTCTTGAGCTGTTATTTTGGTGCTCTGGCCCGTATCATTTCTGCCCACAACCCATTGGCCAGAGCTAATTAGAGGGCCATGTCTGACTTCAAGGATGTGGGTAAGTGTAGTCTCTACGTTCTTCAAAGAAGAGGGGAACTCAGTATTGGTAACAGTAGAAAGATCTGCTGTAGACCACCTTCAGTCTCGAAATATTTAGTTCTGTCCTCTTAATCCTCTTAATACATGCAGAAAATACTCCTCCCTTTCCCGACAAGATAACCTAAATATCCTGCTGAGTCAAGACATTAAATTCAAAGTCTCAGATCTCTGAATGAAGCATCACGGAATCTTCATCACAGAATCTTACCTTGTGGTTTCTCCATCAGGTCTGGATGTGGCAACTCTTTTTTTTTTTTTTTTTTTTTTTTTTAAAAAAAAAAAAAAAACAGAGTCTCGCTCTGTCATCCAGGCTGAGGTGCAGTGGCACAATCTGAGCTCACTGCAACCTCTGCCTCCCAGGCTCAAGCAATTCTCCTGCCCCTCCTGAGTAGCTGGGACCACAGGCATGCATCCCCATGCCTGGCTAATTTTTTTTTTTTTTTTAAATAGCGATGGGGTTTCACCATGTTGTCCAGGCTGGTCTTGAACTCCTGACCTCAGGTGATCCACCTGCCTCGGCCTCCCAGTGTGCTGGGATTGCAGGTGTGAGCCACCATGCCTGGCACAACCCTTGATCTTAAGAGCTATGAACTAAAAAGACGTGCTCTGCGTCCTCCTTTCTCCTCCACCCAATACACAGTGATAGAAGAGGAATGTGATAATCTTGAGAACACCTATTCAGAAAGGGGAAGAATGGGAGATGTGAGTGGCCTGTGGAAGTTCTGGATCCTGCTGGGTTAACTTTTGAGGCCCTCTCCTTGGAGTGGAAATATATTTTAATTAATCTTTGATTTTTCAGGTTAGAGGAGCTTTTGGATCCATTATTCTCTGTCACTGCTGGTCTACTCCACGGGAGCTTCTTTATTTTTCTTTGTCCCTCTTGACTATGTCTAAAATAGGCATTGGGGAATATGATTTCATAGGGGATCAAGCATCTATTCCAGTCTACTTCCTTCCCTGAATGATTCGAAGTCAGGGTCTCAACAGTCACTGCCCTTTTAGCCAAGGCCCATGCCTCCTTTGGCTGCGTACCTCTCTCAAAACTTCAGTGAGCTGAGACTCCCCTGAGTCAGAGACTGAAATATTGTATTTCAATCACTTTAAGTGCTACTAACCACTCCCTCAGCCCTTTCTCAAACGTGGTTCCCTTATTTGCTGTTTGGTTTCTCACTCCCAAACCTATCTCTAGACTTAAGTGCATGCCACGTCTTTCTTTCTTTCCTTCAGTGCTTTTATCTGATTAAAAGGATTTACTGGCACCCTGTCCTTCACTGGATCTTACTTTAAGACACCTTACTCCATTCAGAACTTTTAACAACTGTATTTAATGACTATGCCCTTAATTTGATCCTCCCCACAAAGCTGAGTTTTATTAGCCTTTGCTTTTCACAGTCTTCCTCATTCTTATCTTTTATAGTTTAGAATTGAGAAGCAGTTGACTTTGCAATGCCACCACTCCCTGAAGTTTTAGATGCTCTCTATTCTCTTTCATTCCTGTTTGCAAGCAAGCAAATTCTTTGCTGAGCGCATCTCTTGCTTACAGGACCTTGACAAGTATAGCCCAACAGCAACCAGTGCACATTACGATATTCTTTCCCAACCTCTTCTCCTAATTAGAAGCATGACATGGCTCCAAAGTAGTTAGATGCATGATATGCCTCCAAAATGACTGAAGGTGGCAACTTTATAAAATGCTTTGCCATTAAATGAAGTGGATTACCAACTTTCAAGCCTCTAATGTCAGTTTTCTCACCACCTATCTAACACCTGGCACATAAGCCAATGTCATATATTTCGGGACTGTTTTTTTCCCCCTTTGGTCTTATTATTGTTGTTGTTATAGTAGCTCTTCTTTCAGCTCCAATATTTGTATCAGTAGAATAGTCTAGATTATGCTTTGGTAAACAACCACCCTAGAATTTTAGTAATTTAAAACAACAAAGGTTTTTGGTTACTCACACTATGTGTTCAACAAAGATTGTCAGGAGAACTCTGCTCATTGTAATCACACAGGAATCCAGGTTGATGGGGGCTGTGTCACCACACCCAGGATGGGAGGGTCTTAGGCTGATAATTAAATGCTCCAGCCTCAAAGGAACTTGCATCGTCTCCCCATACAACTCATTAAGTAGCACTAGTCATATGGCCATGCTGCCTTCAAAGGGTCATATCCTTAATCCATTGAGTGGTTTTTCTTTTTTGCTTTCCTATCCTATATACACAAAGCAGGCCACTGATAATAACATCTACTGCACTATATAGCTGCTCCATGTTCTTCAGTTGATTCATTTGTGAAAAAGAAACCCAAGTAATATCATCTGATTTGTGTTTTCCAGAGATTCTTTCAGATTTCACTAAGGAGAAGGAATTGTGGGCATAATGGGAGTGGAACACAAGGATGGAGGTAAGGAGACCATCTAAGAAGCTGCTTCAGTGGTCCAGGTGAGAGCGATAATGGACATGAACTTATGGATTTGAACTTTTTAAAGATCAGTCAAGATCAAGACAGTGAATACGACAGGGAAAGGTCCAACTCAAACAAATCCAACTGTGGGTTGGTGGAGAAAGATGATTTTTTTTCAGCAATGATAACTGAGTGACATTCAGGCTAAAACAAAACCACCAACCCACAGAAAAGCACCTCTAATACCAAAGGGTGAGTGTTTCAGAGCATGAAGGAGGAAAGTCAGCAACTAAACTTCTTTGTCAACTGCTCCTCCATTTAGCTTTACTATTAATAATTGAGTCCTCACTTAAATAGCCACTTGTAACCTCACACCTCCAAACCTTGTAGCTGCTCATGGCTGTGATTTTTACTTTACACATAGAGAAAGAGATGCTGAGACCTATTTTTCTCTCTCTCTGACCTTACACTGTAGTTCTTTTATTCGCCTCTCCAAGTCTCCTTTTGGGATTGATGAAAACTCTGTGTGTTAGAAAAGGAAGCCCTTTCCATTTTCCTACCCAAATTCCTCCTCTGCCAAGTTGCTTAGTTTCTATGAAGGAGTTACTGCTGCAGAATCTTCAGACTTCATTATTAGGTTTGGTTTTGGTTGATGTCTTTTAATGATGTGGAGAGAGGTGATAACTGCATATTAATGAGACTCACAAAGGAACCAAATGGAAAGCTGTTGCAGACTCCAGTGGTGACAGCAATAAACTAGAACTCTGGAGAGAACTGACTGACAAGTGGGGAGCAACAACATGTGCTGAAACCTGCGCATGTGATACTGACACTGCCGGGAAAAGAAGCACAGGTTTAAACATTTTTTTTAAAGGGAAGAAGAAATGTGTAAAACAGCAGTCAAGAGAAGAGTCTTAAGGATGAAATGAAAATGAAATGCTGAATTTGCACAAACCTAGTCTCCATGGGAGGAAGTCGAAAGGATGCGGTAATTCTGCTGACCTCGCTCGGCACCTTCCACCTTACCTTTCTCCCCCATGATGATGGTCACAGGTCCCAGGTCGAGAAAGCCAGTATATCCCAATCTCATAAACACACTGGTTCTGGTATAGACATGTAACCTGATGAGTCAAATAAGACTCAATTCTGGGATTTTGTATTTTATTTTATTAGAACTAGTATAAAAATAAGAAGCTTTCATCCGACAAGGATTGGAAGTTATAGTTAGTATACACCTATAGCTGTCAGAGTTCACCTAATAGAGAAGACCTGGCTGTGATTGAAATCAACATAAGGAAAAGCAGAGTTGACAACAGAGAGAGAGAGAGAGAAAGAGAGAGAGAGAGCGCGCGCGCGAGAGAGATAGGGTAAAGGGGAAGAGAGGGAGAAAAAGAAAAAGAGAATAAGCCCTCTGGAACCAGCCATGCCTGATGTCGTAACCCTTGGTTGCTCAATTATTAATAAATTTCTTTTTGTATAAGCCAGTATCAGAGCACTAACCCAAGAAATCTTTTCAAACATATTGCCCTTTTTTTCTGTACCCTTTACTTTCTAGCCATACTGGATGACTTCAATTTCCAGAGTATTTTGGAAAAAAATTATTCTTCTGAGGTCTCGCTCAAGCAGCTTTCTTCCCCCTTATAACGGAAGAACACTGATTCTGCTATATTTGTGAAAACTCTCCTATCCTCAGGGTCCAATTCAGACTACTTCTTTTGGACTCCTGAACATTCAGTGGAATGTGATCTTTCCCTTCTTTTTTATTATATGTAAATAGACTAGTATAGATTTGGAAAGTTTGAAGAAGAACAAAGTTGGAGGATTAAGACTACTTGATTTGAAGAGTCACTATAAAGCTATAGTGATTGTGTCGGTCAGGAGTCTCTAGAGAAATAGAACCAATAGGGTGCTTTTCCTCTCCTTCTGTGTGTGTGTGTGTGTGTGTGTGTATCATTTGGCTCATTTCATATGTATATCACATGATTGTGGGGGCTGGCAAGTATGAAATTTGTAAGGGAGGGTGGCACTGGAAGCCCAGACAGGAGTTGAGATTGCAGTTGTGAAGCAGAATTCCTTCTTCTCCTGGAAACCTCAGTTTTTGCTCTTAAAGCCTTTCAAATGATTGGATGAGACCTACCCACATTACTGAGGGTAACCTCCTTTACTTAAAGTCAACCAACTGGAGATGTTAACCACATCTACAAAATGTTTTCACAAAAAAATCTACAAAATACCTTCACAGCAACACCTAGATAGGTGTCTGATTGTACAACTGGGTACTACAGCCTAGCCAAATTGGCACATAAAACTAGCCATCACAGTAATCAAGACAATGTGGTATTGGTGTAAAGATAAACTGATGTAACAGAATAGAGAGACTAAATAGAAAGGTACACACATATGGATGGACAAGTGATTTCAACAAATGTCCAATGGCAGAAAGTCGTGAGAAAATAGTCTTTCATACAATAGATCAATTGGATATCCATATGCAAAAATAAACTTTGATCCGTATCTCTCACCATATACAAAAATTAACTCTAAATGGATCATAGACATAAATGCAAATCCTAAAATTATAAAATTTCTAGAAGAAAGCATTAGAGTAAACCTTCGTTATCTTGGGTTAAGCAAATATTTCTTAGTTATAATATCAAAAGCATGATCCACAAGAGAATAGATTGATAAGTTGGGCTTAATAATATTAATATTTTAAAAACACACAGAGAATGAACAAACCACAGACTATCAGGAAAAATTTGCAAAACATGTATCTAATAAGTGACTTATATCAGAATTTAGAAAGAACTGTAAAAATTCGACAATAAGAAAACAACATAATTTTAAAATGGACGAAAGATGTTAACAGACATTTTGCCAAAGTAGATATACAGATGGCAAATAAGCACATGAAAAGATGCTCAACATCATTAGTCACTAAGAAAAGCAAATTGAGGAAATGTGCATTAAGGAAATGCACAAGAGGTATTACAGCTACACACCTATTAAATTGGCTAAAATTAAAAGACCGAGTATATCTAGTGTTGGCAAGGAAGGGGAGGAATTGGGATACTCATATATTGCTGGTAGGATGTAATATAGTACAACCTCTTTGGAATACAATTTGGGAGCTTTGTAAAATGTTCCACATACACCTAATATATTATGCAAACATCCCACTTCTACATATTGACCCAGGAGAAATGAAGACATTTGTCTATATAGGACTTTTACTGGCTGGGCGTGGTGGCTCATGCCTGTAATCCCAGCACTTTGGGAGGCTGAGGTAGGTGGATCATCTGAGGTCAGGAGTTTAAGACCAGCCTGGCCTACATGGCAAAACCTCATCTCTACTAAAACTACAAAAATTAGCTGGGCATGGTGGTGCACACCTGTAGTCCCAGCTACTCCGTGGGCTGAGGCAGAATTGCTTGAACCCAGGAGATGGAGGTTGCAGCGAGCTGAGATCGTGCCACTGCACTCCAGCCTGGGTGACAGCAAGACTCCATCTCAAAAAACAAAAAACAAACAACCAAAAAAACTTGTATATAAATATTTATGGGAACTTTATTTGTAATAGCTGAAACGCAAAATCAAGCCAAATGTTAATCAACTGGTGAATGGATAAAGAAACTGTGATTGGCCGGGCACTGTAGCTCACGCCTGTAATCCCAGCACTTTGGGAGGCCGAGGCGGGCGGATCACGAGGTCAGGAGATGGAGACCATCCTGGCTAACATGGTGAAACCCCGTCTCTACTAAAAAAAAAATACAAAAAACTAGCCGGGCGTGGTGGCGGGCACCTGTAGTCCCAGCTACTCGGGAGGCTGAGGCAGTAGAATGGCGTAAACCTGGGAGGCGGAGCTTGCAGTGTGCTGAGATCCGACCACTGCACTCCAGCCTGGGCAACAGAGCAACACTCCGTCTCAAAAAAAAAAAAAAAAAGAAAAGAAATTGTGACATATCAATAGAATACAACACAATTCCCCAATAAAAACAAATGAATTATTGATACATGCTACAAAATTATTGAATCTTATGCTGCAAGAAAGAAGCCAATAAAAAAGTACATACCGTATGATTTCATTTATGTAAAATTCTAAGAAATGCAAACTAATATATAGTGACAGGAAGCAAATCAGTGGTTGCCTGGGGACAACTGGGAAGAGCAAGAAGGAGGGCCCAAGGAAACTTTTGGAAATGATGATATGTTTTCTATCTTAATTATGGTGCTGATTTCACGGGTATATACCTATGTGAAAACTTACCAAGTTGTGCTCTTTAAATATGTGCAGTTTATGGCATGTCAATATTATACTTTAATAAAGATGTTAAATAAAAAGTACATGCAGGCTAATGACAGGAAATTTCAAACAAAGTAACTAAAGAACTCCAAGAGCTAAAGCTGCATGTTTTTCAGCCTGGGAGTTCTTTTTTTTTTTTTTTTTTTTAGATGGAATCTTGCTCTGTTGCCCAGGCTGGAGTGCAGTGGCCGGATCTCCACTCACTGCAAGCTCCGCCTCCCAGCTTCACATCATTCTGCCTCAGTCTCCAGGGTAGCTGGGACTACAGGCGCCTGCCACCACGCCCAGCTAATTTTTTGTATTTTCAGTATAGATGGGGTTTCATCATGTTAGCCAGAATGGTCTCCATCTCCTGACTTGGTGATCCGCCTGCCTCCGCCTTCCAAAGTGCTGGGATTACAGGCGTGAGCCACTGCGCCAGGCCCAGCCTGGGAGTTCTTAAGTTGAATTTGTCAAGTTCTGACTCTGCCATTTTTAGCGTCTCTAAGTCCCATATTTATCACTCATAAAATGGGAGTAATCTTTCTTCCTCTACTACCTATCTCAAGGGGATTACCGTGAGGACCAAAAGTGATAAGGCATGTGAAAGTGTTTTGCAAATGATGCAAACTACAGCACATTGCACAAATGTCACCCATTGGTTTAGTTGTTATACACCATCTGCATACTATTCTTGCCCAGCATATATGCCTCATGCCAGCTCAAGTCCTAATAGCCCGTATATAAAGTGTAATTGCACAAGTTACTGGAATAGCCCTGAAACCCAGTATTCCGGGCATGACACATCCTAAATACACAACAGATTTTGAAATAAATCAGTTTCAGCCCAAAGCAGAATGCAGGAAACAGACAGATGCCTTCACACATATGCCAAGTGAATGAGACCCACCCAATCAGGGACAGAGTCCAGGGCAAGGGAACACAGCCACGATACAGGCTTTTTGTTCCCTGCTGGAGGCTGTCATAGGGGACGGTGACCCCGTAATATGGCCAGCCCCAACGTGCTGAGAGGTTCTCTACATTTAGAGCCAAGTTCACTTGGAAATTAACTGCTTTTTTCTTGGCTTCTGACACTAGCCAGCCAGAATAATGGGGCCACAAATCACACTGAATTAGTCAAAGTTGAAGACTACAGAAGGAGAAATGGGTAAATGTGCTTAAGTCACCCATCTTCTTTTCTTGCCTTTGGCATTGTTATTTAGCTGATTCTAAATCACAACTAACATTGTCCCTATCATTTGGATTGATGTGAACTTGTTGGAACTTTTCCCCCCAAAATGTGCCAGGTCCCTTGAACAGTCAAGACCCGCTGTTTGAACCCATCTTTCTCCTGCTGACCTCGGAAGGGGAAATCCTGTGGGATTGGGCTATGCCTGGGCAGGGCTGCATTTGATGCCGTACAAAACCAGGGTTGGCATTCCCTGGATGAGCTGTGCCTGAAAGGAGCATTTGGGAAACAAAGAAGGAAATTTGAGAGATGGCTTGGATGGAAGGAACAAAGGTATCATGCAGGTGTGTGTGTGTGTGTGTGTGTGTGTGTGTGTGTAGGGAAGCAGAGCAGAATTAGATCAAAAGGTGGGAAGAAGTCAGGGAACACAGTGCCCTCAAAAGCTGAATGGTCAGTAATAAGTCAAGGAATAGATGTAAGAGGCATCCTACAAACAAATGTCTCAGATGAGGCTGAACCTTTTTCTTTCATGGGACTCTATGCATCTCTCTGGCTGGGGCTGCTTTTCCGAGACTGAGTGCGCTGGTTACCATGACACCTAGACGCCATGCAGCAGAAGCTTCTGTGGTTGGGCATCTCCTCAGGCTGGGAGGAGTGACAGACAGCTTGTGGGAATTCATAGGTGTACTTAAAAGCTTTAGGCAGAGACATTGCAGCAATTACTGCATACTGAAGGAGTACAGTTTGGCTCAAGGGATCCCCTCTGGGATTTGGAAGTACATTTTTCTAATTCTCCAAATATTAATCCCGGTTCAACTGAGCTACACTGATAGCCTGGGATGCTTGACCATCACCCCAAGTAGATTTTGCTTTCAGGTACTCATAAAGCCCAGTTGAGGGGTTCCTGATAGGACCTGCCTTTTCTAGAAGCGGAATGATGATTTGAGGGACACTGAAGCTTCACTGCAAAACAACATGAAACAGAATTCCTCTGTAGATGCTTGAGAGTTTAT